ATCTAAAACTTAAAAATTAACTTAAAAAACTAAGCTTTGTATATAAATAATATTTACAATTATTTCAGAAAGCACCTCCTCTAATCCTAGAGGGTTTAGAACCTGAAGCATACTATGAGTTTTACGTGGTATCGGTGAACTCCTACGGCAAAAGTGAACCTTCACCTCGTTTAATAACTCGAACACAACCAGCTAAGATTGAAGAAGAAACTGAAAGTCCTTATAATATGACAACATGCTGCAAAGCTTCTGGCCTATTACCACAATGTGCACCCCTGTGTAGCTATAATATTCGCATGTCTGATATAGAAAAATTGGGCCCAGCGTGCAGAGCTCAAATGCGTAAGTATCTTTTAATTTATTTGTTATTATATTAGAATAATAAAACGTTTTGTATTTTAAAAACATATTAATGTTACATTGCTAATAACTTAATATATGGTATAATGATATAATGTAACATATATATGACATAATAGATTATAATTTATACTTGATTAGGAAGTCTTCATTACTTATTCAGCTAACATAAATTAAAATTTTTGAAGTAATATTTTAAATAATTGCCACTTAACACATTGATTTGTTTCAGGAGCTATCCACTTAAATTTGCTTTCTACTTAAAGAGTCCGAAGAATTTTCTTCTACCAATATGGATAATTTTTTTGCTGTTATTTGTTTTTTCACATAATCCTCTCCTGATAGACTTTTTTAAATGATAGTCCAACTTTTTTCCTCATCTTTTAATTAGATGAGGTTTAAATTAAATCAGTTTCTTTTAATTAGAGTTCTAGCTGTCCGAGTCAAATATTTACAATACAAAAAAAAATTATCTCTAGGGAACAAATGTAACAAATGAGGGGGACGATTAATTAATTTGAAATGTTATTCGTGAAATTTTGCCATGGCGACTAGTGAAGATGGAACACTTGCATTTTCTTAGTTAAACGAAATGAGTCCATTTTCTGTTGATTACGTCATTTCAGTTAGTAAGTTGTTGTTGTTGTTGTAACCCGCTGGGACCTGTAAGTAGGTAACATAAAAGGATATACAAGACGATTATATGGATAGAGAAGTGGGTTGGTAGTGGTATGGGTGATGGAGGAGGATAGATGATAAGGTGAAATGGGTTGGTGGGATATAATTGAATGTTAACTTGGATCCAGACGGAGACATCTGGCCACTTCAATACGGTCTTCATTTAGTAAGTAATGTTGCATAGTATTCTTCAGTTACTATAGACATCTTTAATTTCATTGTTCTGGTAGTTAGGCTGTGAACTGAAGTAGTGTGTTGCTTAACAGATTTGTAAAGATCTGGCAAATATCAACGATTTTTTTTTTAGAGTGGTAAGTTTTCATTTTATTATAATGCCAACGTCCGCTTATCTATCAGTAGTGCTGGAGGTTGTCTTTAGCAAAGAAGAGTCAAAGTTATCTTTATCTTTTTCTAATAGAGTTTTGTGATGAGTTTGGATGTTGGTTATATAGTAAGTACTTTTAACGATTCTCTCAATTGTTTTTAACTGATGTTTATGCAGAATTTCGATGTTGAAGTTTGAGCTTCCACGGCTGTTTTAATTGATTGTTGTTGCTTACTATTGAATATGTAATATGTAATATTCAATATTCATATTTTTTCGAAATGTATAATAACTCGAACGCTTGACCATGGTTGAGTTATATGTAGATGTTCAACACAAGTTATGAATAAAATTGGCAAAGATTTTAACAGTATATATATAAATTTTTCAGTCAAGGTTTACTCAGTACGACATTTAAGCATACGTAACTTGTTTATTAAAGGTTAAATTTTTATGATTTGCTCTCAGAGCATATATTTAATGTCATTTTAAATAATATCTCATAATCAGATAATTTTATAGAAATGTAATTCAAAGCAATTCTGAATTAATACCAGCATCCCCAGAAAGATTTAGGTTTAGTGCTCTGTTTTTGATGTACTTTCACACGCTCTCGACTCTTAAGTCCTGATATACATCGTCATACCTGATATAGCATGACACTTTTAGTACTCCAAATTAACTTAATTTCATTTTACCGAAATTAAGCAAAATTGGCTGTCTGAACATAGTATAAATATGTTCTCATATAAACACTTAATTAAAAAACCGAAGCATATACTGTGAAAAACAAAAAAATTATTAACAGATAATGAATTTAAAACAATTAAGTAATGAAAAGAAATTAATATCTGATATTGCTCCAACAGTTCAATATTTCATACAAGTAAAAAAATTAAATGAATTGCTTGATTTTTGGTCAGCTGAAAATTCAATTAATTTAAAATAATATAAAAAATAAAATTTTTGTTGTTGTAGTTCACTACTGTTCGAAAAAACCTCTTTATGGAGAAAGTAATAAAACGATATGGAGTGGATTTTTCTTAACCTTTATACGCAATATAATCAATTCTCTACATGATTAGCTATCCCTTTACTCTTTTTAAGTTCCACTGCACCTTATTTTTTGGCCCGGACCGTTTCTACCCTGAAACTTTGTCGCGAATACTTCAGGGTAGTGTCCCTGTGTTGATTATCCATTAAAAAAATTTATTTTTCTTCGTTAGCCTGCATCCAGGTTTCGTTTAGATTTATTTCTTTGTCGCTTTTTCGAAATTAGTCGTTTTCGAGGTCATATTTTTTTCGTTTAAGGAATCTTTAAAGTAAAGTAAAGTAAAATAAAGTAATTAAAAGAAAATAACAAATAAAACAACGTTATTTTCTCTTTAATAATTAAATTTCATTACATTTATTAAAATTCTACATTTAATTTCTTTAAAATTTCCTTATAAATTTCTTATAGTTTAATCTATAAAACTCTTATGATTTATAAATGAAGTCATATTACAGTTCCTTGTTGATTGTTCTATTAAACTTTGAAGTTAAGACAGGAAATTAGTTTCCTTTACGAGCTCATACTGTAAGATAATAACCGGATGATCCATTTTCAAAGTGCCTATTTTTTACTAATTTTTTTTTTGTTATTTTTGATGAAATTTATTTTATGTTTTAAGTTATGCTACCAAGAATTGTAATAAACTTCAGCAGAAATGCGAAATTGATTTCATGGGGCAACTTTCAACAGAACTCAACGTTGAAATTTAAATCCTGCGTTCATCTTGTGTACGTAATGGTGATTATTTTCCTGTTCCCAATCCATTGGCATTCGCATTTTCTGCAGAATCTGCATAAAGTCATTCACAACAGTGTATCCGCTGCTTTCCACTACATCAATTCCATTTTCGTATAAATGCAATAATTTCCATAAATTGGTATAAAAAAAAAATAAAATATAACATATAAAACATGAATTGAATATAAAAATAAATAAAAATATTTTAAAAATAATAATAAAAATAAAAATAGTAGTAAAACGTTTTCAATAATTTTGTTAACTTCATTTCCAGCTGTAATTGCTCGCTGCGCCGCTGGTGGTCGCGATCATACACCTTGCTGCAATCGACGCGGTGTCATACCGGCCTGCCTGACACTCTGCCGCGGCGTTATGCCCGTAACAACTTCAGCAACGGCCTTGCCAGATTGTTTATCTTACGCTGGCAACATACTTCAGTGCCTCGAAGAAGGTTTGTTTATTTTTCCATTATATTTTACGTGCTTCTTTATTTGACTTTGAGTTGCTTTATTGAAAATATCTCGTCCGTTTGTTTGTCTGTTTGTTTGATTGTTTACTTTGGACATTTTGTTTGCGTGCTGCTTTATGCTATGTGCTAAACGTTGCATTTAGTAGCGCGCGAGTAAATATTTGTCAATTAAATAGTAATTAAATACAATGCCAATTCGTGCTTATTTTCCACAGGCACTAGATTTATACCCGCACCCGTTGAAGATGTGCACACCACTGCGATTACGAATTCAAGCATTACTCTGGCTTGGGTAGCACCAAAGTTCGAGGGCGGCAACACGTCAAGCAATCCAACAGAAATAGCAGAGCCAACAGCAGCAACTGGTGAATCTGATGCAACCGTACTGGAAGAGCATGTTGACACTGATTATGCAGACAACAAAGAAGACGATGCAACTATGTCGTCATCCTCTTCGACAGCAACGTCGACATCGACAACGTCGCCAATTGCAGATATTGATTTTATTGTGCAATATGGTAAAGTCAATAACATGACCATGTATGAGACCGTAGCTAAGCTGGAAAATGTGAGTGTACTTGATACAATATATACATATAACATATATATGAATTTCACACAAACACTCGTACTCGTACTCGTGTACTCGTACTAGTAGTCATACCTTCGGTCTAAGTAACTAATCGTTGCAATTATGGTAGTTGCCATTACCGCAGTACAACTGCTACTGTTTCTACTGTTATTGGTAATAGCATTATTGTTGTTGCAACGTAATGTGTACACATTCATTAAGTAATCTGGCACCGTGTTTGTATGTATGCTTGTTGGTGTGTATGTGTGTGTGTGTGCATCTCTCTAATTGTATGCACTGATTGCCAATATCTATTGAATTGCTATTTTATTTGTGGCTTAGTTAATCGCTGCAATTTAGCAGCTTACATTTCTATAGAAATCGCATCATTATCATTACATTGTACGCACATCAATGCCATCAACCAAAATACTGACTCTGCAACTACGACGACAACTACAGCAATGTTGCCGGCTGCAGTTACTCTTGTCGCTGCAGCAGTGTGGCATCATTGACAAAAGTGACTTACTTGTACGATGCGCTTAAATATTTGATGTCAATGTTGGAATATGCGTGATAGTTTTGTTTCTTTTTTGGTTTATGGGGAAAAAGAGACGTAAAAGCATGCGGTGCAGCAGTGCTAGTAACTGCTGCGGTTTAATATATGCAATACCGAAAAGCTTTTAAATAAGTTGTGCAAATATTTAGCGGCTTGGGGTTACCAGATGTGAAAAATTTCTTTATTAAAATATTATATTTATATTTATATCTATATATCTACATGTATATCTATATATCTATATGTATATGATAACATATTTACAAACATCAAAAACATATAATATATATATCATTATATATAGTAGTAATTATATATACAGGGATACAGAAATGTGATAACATTTAATATTAGTAATTATATATACAGAGATTTTCCAGTCGAATGGGAATAACAATGTTATACGGTCAAATAAAAGAAAGACAGTCAAACACCACGTTATGTAGTGACAATCGCGCTAACGAATTACCTAGTCAACAAAATATTTTTGAAACGTTTCGAGTTCAGTACTCCCCGCGAATTCTCTTTTATATCAGCTATCGAATGAAAACAAATAGCTAAATGTGGTAATCTAAAATTTGGAAATAGAAGCAAGTCGGCCAAAATTATATTAAGGAAGTAATAATACTTCCAACATTATATCAGGATGGCTGTTAGATAAGATTTGTTATGTTTTAACTAGAAATTTATTTACAATGATAGCCTAAGGAGATGATGCGTTATTATGCTGTTTAATTCAGTAGTTTACTTTCCAGAAACCTAGTCTTTTTCGACAAATAGGTTCTCTCACACGTCGCATAACGCTCAGATCATATTCTTTATTTACTATCTGCATACACAATACCGCTGTAATCACAAATAAAAAAAAAAACTGTGGACATCAAGCTTATTTTAATCGATTTTTATGTGCATTTTTCGGTTTAAGCTCAGTTACAAGGCGCTAATCTGAACTTTAACTGCTTCGCATGTTTAACTCAACTCAACGCTTACAACACATTTTCTGAATATGAAATCGAAACTAACTCATTCTATTATGTCTTTAGTGACTTTTATGTGGTTAAGTTTTAATAGAAAATTCAGTGAGGTGAGTTAGGAAAATGCAAATAGGTGAGCGGTAACGTACTTCATGTCCAATAGATATATCGTTTAGAATAGTACAAATAGATTTGTGAGACCCAGAAATTGCAGCAGCTGCCTCTCTCAGACTTGAACGATGATTTTCAGACATTATTTTCTTTAACCTAACGGTAATAAGTTCATTGAAAGCGTTGATAACTGAACAGAACGAATAAATCTTCCACTGCACCCACTTTTGAATGCACTGTATTAGTCGATTCATTGTAATTCTTATGCAATATTCTCAGCGCTTCAACAGAGTTTTGCTAATTAAACGATAAAAAGAATATCGACAACCTCTCTAAGGGGTCCTTTTAAATGATCGATGATACGATGTACATTAGTAGAATCAGATATTCCACATAAATATTTATGCATAAAGTTATTTTAGGTGAAGTGATTAGGTACCACTTAAAACTATTTTAAAAAAATATTTTTAAATTATGAAAGTGTTTCAAACACTTAAAGGCCTCTATCACAATAACTTAGTTCATTTATTAAATTAATTTATTCATTAAAATTTATAAAAGATTAAAAATAATGATTAATAAAAGACTTCAAAAGTTCGAGATCTATATCCTTTACTATATGCTTCCATATATCTATGTCGTTGCATAGATCCAAACAGCCTCACTAATAGTCTTTTCAGAAGAAATTCTGCTTTGTAGATTTAATGTATCTCACAGTTTCAGTCACTTTACTGTAACCATAATTACTTCAGCTAAGTGATGTGGTGCATCTGCCAAGTTAACCTTCTGTCAAAATATAGCAGAAGATTTTGGTAACAGCTTCCTTTCAAAATGGATGATGGAAATAACGTGGCTTTGTGTTGTGTACGCGTCTGAGCGAAAATGTAATTAAAGCAGAGCTGATGAAGTTAACACAATCGTTCCAGTTATTGCTGTGTCATCAGCAATTGTAGCAATAAAGTGCATTGTAATTGGTAACAAAAGGTATCTGAGACAGTGAAATTCATACACACAGGACATAAAGTGTTACGTTATGAAATTTATGGGGCAATGTCAGTGTATGTAATTGCATAATTTGTTTAAATATTAATTTTAAAAGTGAAACTGTTCTTGACCATTTCATATCAGTTTTTCTAGTAGTTTTTACATTGATACTCTGTATATATCTTTTTAAATAAAAATGATTTAAGTTAATCAAATAAGCGTTGGTGACTTGTTTTTATATACTCTAGATATATATAGTCAGAAAGGAGTACATTAGGTATACCAAGAGATTAGCATTTAAAGGTTTAACTTATAATAAAGTAACATATACATATTAAATTAATTACTATTTGGTCGGTGAAATAAAGAGATTTTTCTCAACACACCTAAACACTTTTGTTGAAAATAGTTTTAGATAATATAATAAACAAAATTATATACCTACCATAGCACCTTTTCAAAATTATTTTATTGCTAATTATAACAAATTTCATTTAAAAATAATAATAAATCTTTAATAAATGCAATTGCTCGCTTTTGAGTTCAAGATACGAAAATAAATAGTTGTAATCGTTATCTTTTTGGTATACATGCAACCTTTGTCTTTACTGGTAACTTTAAGCCTATTTGTATATTTTCTAGATGATATTTGACTTTTCTGTATTAGTCTTCAAAACAATAGGAGTATAATGTACTCAAAGAGTATTTAAAATTATTAAGGTCACAATTTGTATGATAACCACGGTTGCCACTTGAAAATTTTTTCCTGTACCAAAATTGGTTTAAAAAGGTACCATTTCTGTAAAAAAAGGTCCAAAATTTTTTTGGACCTTTTTATTTTTTCGTTCTGTGTTTTTCATAGTGTTATGAATGAAAATATAAAATAGTGCAAAGTTGCATTTATTAAAAAAATTAATTGGAAATATTCAAAATGTATCAATTTTGGTACATTGGGTACCAAAAAATGTACCAATTTTTGAACATGAGTACCAAACCAAAAAAAAAGTATCAATTTTGGTACTAAAGTACCATAAGTGGCAACCGTGATGATAACATTTATCTGTTTTGTTACACAAGGAAAATTTTATGCTTATATACACAGTTTTGACGAAACTTAGATGAGACAAGTCGCAGGGATGCTGGATTATTATTGAAACGCATCTTCGCGGTCCAAAGCAGATCTTTCGCATTAAGTAACCTTAATTGAAAATATTCGGGCTTATAATATTGATGATCGTTAAATATCACATTGAAATAAGATTTTTCGGTCTAATATTTCCTTCCTGGTGCAGTTTAAACCCAGAAAATCACAAAAAATTCACCTGAGGTTTTCTCTTTTAAGCAAAAACCACTTTCTAATAGCTCAGATGAACTTATCTTATTGTGATGGTAATTTAGGTTTAGACGACTCTGTTCATAAAAACTAAACAGCTTGAAGGATTAAGCCAATCGTTCAAGCACTAACTAAGGATGTTATAAAAAGCTATATAATCTCTTGAATAAATTAAATAACAATAGTTTAGACGACTCTGCTTATAAAACGATTGTTCTCGTTTTTTAGTCTTTATAAACAGAGTCGCCTAAACTATTTTTCTTTAGTCTATTCAAGATATTATATAGCTTTTTATAAGATCATTCATTAGTGCTATTAAGAGCACTTTTTTGGTCTTCAAAAGCAAATTATTAATTATTACTTCAAACAAAAGTGATGAGAGAATACAATCTACGCCGAATATCACGATTGGTTCTTTGCAGTTGGGCAGTATTTTTTTTACGTTAGTAGATAGCTCGCAGATATATTTTTGAATTTTTTGGTCTCTATCCAGTCAATGAAGAGAAAGAATATCGTAATTTTGCAGGAACGTAAGTTCCTAAAAAACTTGCCATATAGCACAATTTTATATGTATCAAAAACTCATATAAATTTGATGAGAAGGAAGAATAAAGACAATCTTCAGTTTTTGAACTGCTTACTATTGATTTAGAGCATGCTGATATGCTTCAGGTGTTACTTGTTTAGTTTAAAGCCATTTTGTTCTTATTGATATGTCAAAACATATATACACATATACATTTTTTGATGAGATAAATGTGTGGATACTATGATTACTTCTATGATGTTAAGTAAAGTTATATTTTTCAATCTTGTATAGATATGCTACCTATATGTCATGTTGTTAGAAAGTCACTGTTTTCTAAAGCTACATTTCTTTGAAAGACACCTTACTATGAAGGTCACTTTTCTTCAAAAGTTACTTATCCTTGGAAATCATTTTACTTCGAAAGCCACATTTCTTCGAAATTCCTGTTTCTTTATAAGTCGCTTTTTATTAGTAGTCAGCTTTTCGCAAAAATCATTTTTCTTTAAAAAATGCATTTTCTTGAAAATAACTTTTCTTGAAATTCCTGTTTCGTTGAAAGGCGGCTTTCTTTGAAAATCACCTTTATGGCAAAGATATCTGTCTTTGATATTTTTCATTCTTTACAAGTCACTTTTCTTTAAAAGTAACAATTAAAAGTCACCTTTTTTTGGATGTCACTTTCCTTTGTCATTCACTTTTATTTAAAAGATATCTTTTCTTCTAAATCGTCATTTTGAAGAAAATATCTGTGTATGAAATTCTTTTTTTTAAAACTTACATTTCTTTATTAGATATATTTCCACGAGGGTCGCCTTTCTTTGAAAAGGCGAGTTTCTGTTCCTCAATCAAATGTTAGCAATTTATACTTTTATCTTGTATTTTAATTAAAAAATTTAATAATTACAATAAATAGTATTTCTTATGACAAAAAAAAACTTTTTAAAAGTTAGAAAGTTTCAAATGGAACTGAAAAGACAGCAACAAAAATTTTAGTTAATTTATTAAAATTTGGTTGACCATATAACGCTGTTTCGAGTTTTGCCAAGTACTCATCACATCAGTGGTCATAGAAAATACTTGAAATTTTAATTAGTAACTGTCACAAATTAGAAGCTCGTACCAGTCTAGTATTTCACTAAGTTACATGTTTCTTTTCCTCGTTTTAATTTTTTCAAAAGCAACCATAATTAAACTGCTACCAATTTTACATCTCATATATCTCATTTTGCATCTCATAGTTATTACTTTTCTATTATATATTTATTTTCTATGTAGAACATATTTAAGTTTCACACATGTAAATAGTAATTTGAAGCAATTCATCTATGAAATATAGCAAGGATTTATACTTCTAACTAATCCGTTTCAACTGCGATATTACTTAATGTTTACTGCTCCATTACACTTCCTCTCATCTTCCTCGTAAGCAATGTGTAGTAATGCACGTAACGACTTTGGCTTATTGTGTTAGTTACTACTTACTAGTTGCCGTTTTATTACATACTTGGCAACTCTGCACTTGCAGTGCAAGTACGTTGCTACGACACATCATCACTAGCAACGTCAACATAGTGAGCAGCACATAAGCTTCATCATCGCACAAACTTGCTGGATTTAGCAAACAAGCTAAATAAAGATTTATGCTTCAACCAAAAATATCCAAAAAAAGACAAAATTATCCAAAAAAAAGTCAAAAAAAGCCGAAAAGCGCTAAAAAAAAAAGTCAAATGAACCACATTGCCATTGACTTACATTTTAAATTGTGGTGCTTGAATAATGCATTTTAATGCATGCAACCAGCAATTTGAAAACGTAATGCGACCGATAAGCGCAGTATAACCATATTTGAATTAGCTTAGAGCAGCTAAAACAAAAGTTTCGCTAGTGCTGAACAACAATTAGTATATAAATAAATAAATAAATACATGAACGAATGTATGTATGAATGAATAAATGAATGAAAAAAAAAAAAATTGTTAAGCGAAATAAAATTAAACTGCTTAAAATTTTATTTGGCGTGTTGTAATTAACACAAATTGCTGATTTGCACAAATGTTTTTGGTTTGTCGGCTTAGCAGCAGCTGCCATATTAAATATACAAAAAAAAAATCAATAAAATAATACCAAAAAAAAGGAGAAAAAAATAAAAAAAAAATAAACAAAACAATGTTCAATAAAAAAAAATAAAAAATAAATATAAAATCAGAGAATAAATTTTCAAACGTCAAATACCACAAATACAAATAAATTATGCACTTTAATAGTTGGTCCACTTCCAATTATTGGACATGCTCGCACCATATATATCCGAACAATGCTAATTGTCTCTGTGTGTGTTCGTTTTCAATGATTTTTTGCCATTTTATCCATTTTACCCATTTTCGCCATTTTAGTGCATAACTGCTTTGTTCGCATTGTTCGAATATTTGCTTTATTTTGGTTTTATTTCCCTCCTAGGAATTGACCACCAACGAGACGAGCATCGATTTGACAAATTTGGAGCCGCACGCATTGTACCGCATCATGGTGGTGGCGCGTGGAAAATTTGGCACATCATTACCATCTTCAATGCTGCTGATCAATACAACCGAGAAAGGTAAATACATAAAATACATAAAATGCTTAAAATACCCGTACTTTGCCAAACACACAGTAAATAAGCGTTTAAGTACGAGCAGCAATGACTGAGGCACGTGCGAAATATTTTGCCTTCGACCGATCCATAAACAACCAAAATAAGCTGCAATGAGGTTGACATTGTACTCTAAGCCAAATTTCCTTTATTGCTATTATTTAACTTGTTTCCAGTTATTGTTGCTATTGTTGTTGTTGTTGTTGTTGTTCTAGTTGTTGCTTTTGTTTTATTTGCCTTTTTCAATTTAACTTTAGCTGAGGATAGAGTAAAAGATATTTATGGTGCACCATCACCGCCACATTCCTTGGCAGTTATAGCGCAAAGTGCTACTTGGATGCAGCTTACTTGGCAACCACCTGAGTATTCGCATCCACATGAAAAAATCTCTTACAGGTAAATATGCACGTACAATATGAAGTTTGCAAACACAAAAGCAACTTCCTTCCTGCCACACAAACATGAACATCATATAACCTTCGAACTATTTTCTCTATTTTCTGTGCTACTGCAGAGTCTATCACAAGCCCATGAAAGCGGAAAAATTCTTTCAAATTGAAACGAAAGTTGCATTCTTACGCATGAACAATTTGAAACCGAGCTCTCAACACATACTCTATGTGGAAGCAATTGGTGAGAAGGCGACGTCATTACCTTCAGAAACGTTAGTTGCATGGACCGATCCGGCATTACCAGCTTTTGTCGATGTAAGTTGCACGTACTAAGCATTTATAAAAATTTAAATTTAATGATTTCACATTTTCTGTTTGCAACAGCCACCGACAGTGCATCCGGCAGATAATGTAGCTGAAGGCGGTTCAATGACAATTTTATGCTTAGCTTTGGGTAATCCAGCGCCTACGATATCATTGTACGTGGGTGGACATTTAGTGCGTCAGGACACTTCCAGGCATATGGTTACTGTAATCCACAATGTCACCGCCGACATGGAACATGTGTCCTGCTATGCTGATAACGGTTACGGCGTGCCAATGCAGGCAACCAGACGTGTTAACATTTGCTGTAAGTATGCCTTGGAGAGCACAAACCAATACAATTTTTAATTCTACATATTTTCACTATACACTCATTATTTCCAAATACATACATACGTACACATATACACATATATATTAAATGTATTTATTACCCAGATCCACCAAAAATACAAGCAGCGAGCGTTACCGTTGCTGCTGTTGATGATGAAGTAGTTCTGCGTTGTATGGTCAATTCGAATCCGGAACCTAAAACAATTTTCTGGCGAGATCATGACGGACGTATTCCTGTAATACAAGGCGGCAATTATGACATATCAATGAAAACTAACGAATCACGTCCTACGCTCTACACAATGACGTTGCGCATTAATAAATTGCAAGCGACTGATGTTGGTGATTATTTCTGTCATGCTGAGAATCCTTTCGGTGCATCGACAATACCTGTTTCGGTGCGTATACGCAACACTCCGCCCCTGCATCAGAACGTTTCGGAATGTTGTGCTCAAATGAATGTATCGCTACCGTGTCGCAATGCGTGCAGCTACTATGTTGACATCGATGCAATTGCCGATAGGCCAGAGTGTATTGTTGACTTTGATAAGCTCATGAAATGTGCTGCCGATGGCTCAGATCATCGGTCATGTTGTGCGGATGCTAATGTGCCACGTAAATGCCTAAATTGGTGTCGAGGTGAAGCGGTGCGCTCGAAAGAAATTTGCAGTCTGCAATATGCGCGCACCATTGTTGGTTGCTTCGAGTCAAATAGGGACCGTTTACCTGGCCCACCTGAGAACATTGCGGTTAGTGTGGTTTCGGAAAGTGAAGTTGTCATTAAGTGAGTATTATCGGTTGTGTTAAATTATATTTGGGCGTCATTTTAAAATTATTTACAAATTATTTGCGCTTTTAAAAAAAAATTTTCTGTAAATCAAATTTGTAAAGTCAAATTTGATAGGAAAATTATTTTTAAATAGAAGAAGGGTTAATAATAACAAAATAGAACAAAAATATTATTTTTAATTAATTAAGTTTTTAGGTTGATTAAATAGCTCTTTCGATTATATTCCAAATATTTATCATCAGTAGTTTTTGGAAATATGTGTTGACTTAAGAATTCGTATATAAAATTTAAGTTCAGGTATCAGACTTAAAACTTCAAATTTTTAATTTTTATTATAATTGAGGTTCCAGAACTTTTTACGAACTATTAAACCTTAATTACTTTATGGTCCATATATAATTTTTGGACTGCAAATATGCAGCTTAGATCTTCGAAGCAATCAAACTAGAAAAACTTGTAGTTCAAAAATTATGCACGAACGATTAAACTGTAATTAATTATCGATGCGTATATAATTTTTAGGCCATAGAAATGATCTATTAAACAAGAAATAATAACAGTCCAAAAACAATCTATAAATTCCTTATAATTACTGGTCTGTGTTTAATTTTTGGACTACAAACTTAGAATTTTGAACCAATAAGTTGAATAATTCACATGAAGTCTCTGATTCAGAAGTTTGTATTATCAGACTGTGCCAAAATCTCATGACTCTATAGTCTCTTTGTAGTTTAAATCGAAACCAAGCACTAATCACAATTTAAATAAAAAAAAGGCGAATCTATAGTCATTGGACTGGTACTAGGAGTTTAATTTTTTAAAAATTAAATAAAAAAAAAATAAATTTTAGACCAAAGCGAAGTGTTATTTATTTTCGATTACAAAAGATAAGAAATTTAAATTAAATTAGATTATATATATAGATTTATATATAGTTTTATATATGTTTCATCTTTTTTTTTTATAAAATAGACTATATTATTCCCACCCTCATAACATGAAATTTTTGTTTTAATTATTTAGATGGGATCCACCTTCAAAGAATCCAAATGTAGTCGATGGATATAGAATATTCTATCATGAATCAGCTTTATTGCCGCATGATTCGGGCGAATCAAATTTGGATTCTATGGGAAATGGCACCAGCATGCCGAATACAACGGAAATACGTCGCATAGATGTTAAGGATACTTCTGTTAATATAGAAGGTCTAAAGAAGGATGTGCTCTACGAATTAGTAGTAAAAGCTGGCAATACTTTTGGTAAGTTGATTTTATTATTAACATTAATATTATAATTATATTGTTACAAATATTATTATTTTTATTACTATATTATAAAATATTTTATTGAAGATTGTTGTTTGATTTTTTTATTCAAAAATAAGTAAACAAATTAAATTAAAATTATAATTATTTTTAACAAAAATATTACTTAAACTTCACCAAGTCCATTTGAAGTACTTAAAGTTAAAATAATTTTATGATAGTTTAAAAGATAGTTTTTATAAAATTTATTCCAAATTTTAATACATAAACTGAAGCACTTTAATATTTGGAAGAGTTGTCGGGTTCACGATTTCATACAATTTTGTTGGACAGCAAAACAAAAGTCATAAAAACTCTCATTTTTGGTCATAAACGAAACCAGTTTCGAAAATAGAAAGCTACTGCTAATACATATATTTTTTAATCCTAATTTGCTCTTGGCAAAATATACTTGTCTAAAAAATAAACATTATTTTATTTTATAACTACAACTAAAATTATTAGAAGAATTCTTGAAACTAATAAAATATATTATTAATCTAAGGTAGTTAAAATCTCAAGTACTTATACATACTTCACACACGTAAGTTTAAGCCTTTTATTACTGATTTAAATAAAAAAAAATTTATTGTTTCTGAATAGTTTTTGCAAATTAAAGAAACAGAATATGAAGTTTTTAGAAAATGGAAAGTGATTGCAGCAAATTTAAATATCATTGGTTAAAGTACTTTTATTTATCATAAAATTTCAAAAATTTGATTAAATGAAAGATATGATCACTATACTATATCCAATTATTTGTACTAAAAGCAACAATGGCACTAAGCCACTTATATGTAATATAGTATCTCCAGTCGAAGAATTCTAAGCTTATTCGGAAAAATTAGGGCTTTGATTGGTAGCTTTGACAATATTTGTCAAATAAGACAGACAAATGTTTTAACCTGTTTTCAACAGAACAAGCTAGTATCAAAGTCCTTTTATTCTATCTTTGAAAAAGAGTAGTTAACAAAATGAGTTTAATTAAGAAACCAGTTATTAATCTGAGTTCTCAGATCTTTTAAAACTGGGAAACCTATTATTTTTGTTATTGAAAAAATGAAACTTCATGCCAAAGTGTTCAGATACTGATGTCTAAAATCGCAAGACCTTTGTTGAATAGAGGAATCCGTGGAAAAATTTATAGTGTAATAGTGATATCTGTATAAAAAACAGATATGTATAACCTATAAATACTTTTAAATACAAAATCACTACTTCTCTACCTGAAAGTTTTTTTTTTTATTCTATTTTCTATTATAAAATTTCAGTTATTCTTGCTCGCTGTTTTTATAAATAATTCCACGATTCTAGTTTATGGTATACGCTATATTTATATTCCTGTTATATTTATTCTGTTAATAATTATCCATTTGTTAACGATTTATTATTCTTTTCTTCAATGGCTTTTCTTCATTGGTAGATATAACGAATGTAAATTTTTTGGGACCCCTTAACTATGTTTAGAAACCCAAATGGATTAACGAAGATAACGCAAGAAACGATATTGAAAAGAAACGATATTCGCCGACAATTTTAAGGGCAAACCAATGGGCAATAGTTGACGGCAACTATGCATTTAATAAGTCACAAATTGTGTTGCGCTCAATGAAGAGTTTGAAGAGTATCATTTTGATAAGATATTATATATGACAATGGATATAGAAAGGACAATGGAATACACTTTCTTCCAAAAACCAATCTTTTTGAACAGATGTATAAGAGCTACCCAAGAAATACAAGCTTAAATTTGTGAGCTGCTTAAGTTATTCCCACAAGAATCATAACTAACCATTCCCTATTGATTGAGAAGCACTAAATTTTTGCACTGAAGTGGGCTTATAAGAATGGCCTTACTCTCCATGTGACTAAATATTAATAGAAATAAAAAAGTCTTTTCATTTCATTGCTGTCACAGATTGCATTTGAAAGTGGTGCCCTCTAATTATGATAATTTATGATATGGGAAGGTTTTAAAGAGCCGCTACCATAATTAAAAGATTAAAAAAAAATTAATTAAAAATAAAATTAATATTCCTTTTAAATTATTTTCTTTTACAATCTCTTACAAAACGTTTTATGTTTAAAGCTCATAAATTACTACTCCTCATATTAAATATAATATTTGTTTTTGTTTTTGTTTTTATTTATTTAGACATGTATTGCATTGCACAAAAGTTTGCGTATTATAAATTCAGTGAATAAACATTAGTCAAGTTCTAAACTTTTCCGAGCCACAATCGTTGACATGAAAATAAAATCGCACACAATCCGAAAACAGAATACATAGCCTTGACTGGAAAATATGAAATGCTTTAATATATCATAAATACGAGTATATAGGTGCACTGTACATACTATATATACATACAATGTACATATGTACATATCAACAAAACTTTGACTTAATTTTGTTTTTGTTGTTTTTTTTTTAAACTTGGCAACATATTTGCTCTGTTGAATTTTTACAATTAGTGCACTAAAAGTAGAATTTATGATCTGTCGAGCCCAACCAAAGGATTCAGTATAAATAAAAATAATAGAGCAGAACTGAATAATGTGTTAGTCTCTTTGATGTATTCACAAATGGAAGTTCAGAAAATAATTTAATCCTTTATAAATTTTAAATCAAAAACGCGTTTTGTGAAATAATGTTTAATATAAGAGAAAGCCATTCACAAGACAATATATGAGTTTTAATTTAAATATGTAATTAATAGTCAAAGAGATCCAAGCTTTGCATTCACCGAATCTACTATGGAAATATGTAGGTGGACTTTTAAAGTCTTACAAGCACTTTCTGTGAAGACCCAGTTTCTTTTGTACTACTAAGACTGTAATAATCTTAACATACAAAATGGTAATAAAGGTCACCGAATCTTCAATGTAAATTGGTGGACTTTTAAAGCACTTTCTGTGAAGATCCAGTTAGTGTATTTAGTAATAATCTCTGCAAATAAAGTGTTAGTAAAAGTAATCATTTCACTTTACTTAATTAAATAATATGTTAGTATTTGGTAAGATTGTACATTAGCTGTTCGTGACACGGTATCCATTTCTAAACTATTGTACTCTATATATGATGATTCAATATCATACGGTGATCCAACTTTAATCCGTATCAAGATCAGAGATAGTTAAATCTGTCTTGATGGAAAATGGTTATATTTTTGACAATAAAACGACCCTTTTAGTAAAAGTTTTTGAATCCAATTAATCTAAAAAGTTAATATTATAAATTTTAAACTATCTTGAAGATAAATTTTAAACTATCTTGAAGATAAATTTTAAACTATCTTGAAGATAGTCTAATTACATTTGGAGTTATTGCATCCAGTCAGAACAAAAGGTTAAAATTATAAATTATGTTTGTCTGCAAACATTTTCTCAATCATGATGTGAACACGAACTTCTTCAAAGAGGATTATTATTGGCCTCTTGTTTGGACTCCAAACATCAGTGGTAAGTCTAAGTGTAGTTTCATTTATAAGGAATAACCAATGCAGAAAAACTTATTTTCCATTTGAGACAATCTATAAACAAAATTATTTTTACATTCCAAAACTCTGATAGTTAATACTTTTAAAATACTTTTTAAACACAAACATGGTTCTGAGTTTTAACTTTTTATTTTATTGGAAGATGATAAGGGTGGGTCCCTGTTTCATCAATAAGGATGAAACGATATACAACGCCACCTTCTCTAACGCAATAGATGTTTACTTAAAAACTTGCTTGTTACATTATTAGTGAATTTGTATATCTTGGACATCCTACTCTAGGATCTTATATGTTTTTCCCCGACTTTCTCTTAAACTTGTTTAAATTTTTTACGGTTATAAGTTTTTGGTAGTTTCTGAACTTGGATGAAGTTTAGCGAAGTTAAAAATTCGCTGTGAATTTTTATGATTATGTGTATCATCATTAACTGATTTTAGAAACCCTAATCTGACATCGATATAGGTCTTATAGATCCATGCGAGTTCTCGGTATTTAAGCTTTAAATTTTATAGGAATTATGACCTTCTTCTAAACACTTACCTATGAAATCAAAAAATTGACTTAAATTATAGCTCACTATACCAGAAGAACCCAAAAAAAATCTATTAAATTCTTCTTGGCTAATTAACAGGCTTTTAAACTTTTCTGTATTTTTGTAAAGGTTCCAGGTGTTTATGCAGTTTTCATACCCTATATATTTCCGACGATTTTTGCCCAACATATTAGACCAGAAGCTATTAAACTTCTTAAGCACAGATGAAGCTATTTTTAGACATTCTTCAGATTGACTATTCTCAAGATAGATAGGTCATATAGACCTTTGTATAAACAGTTTTAATTAAGTTAGTCAATTTACAAGGAAGCAGATTCTGCTAACGCACTAAAGGCTAACCTATCTATAATCACGTCCAAACTTTAGAATTGTGTTGTTATTAAGCTCTAGGTGAGCCTTGATTTTGATATCAATAAGGCGTTTAAAAATTTCAAAATCAGAAGTTAGTTATATTTTTGACCACACGTGCCTATTACTTATGAGAATAGTGTACTGCAGACATTTACATACGTGTCACTTATGGCACGCGTGCTTTGGTTCATCATCGCTATACTCACTAATAGGGATAGCGTGCGTGTTAGAGAAATTTTCATAACTGTTACTCGTGGCACGCGTGTCATAGATTCGTTATCGCTACCATATCGATATGAAGTTTCATTGCTATTAAATCTTTTTTATGAAGCATTTATTTACCGCATGATGTTTAATTTTTTCTCTTGATAAAAAATACATTGACACGTCATCCTTAAGTGACTTGTAAACAAAGAATGATAGATATGTTCTCATAATAGATGAAGTTTGTTTAAAAATGGCCTTACAGTATTAGTTCTACTACCGACGTATAGATGGCGTCTTGTGAACCTCTTAAAATATTGAGCAAAAGTTTAAGTAAAACTGCCAAATTAATTTCTACTATAAGAAGAAACTCGAAAAGCTTTAAAGGTTATGAAAGGGCAGTGACTTGTATTATAGAATTTCATACATCATAATAA